TGTAATCTGGGTCTTTCAATTTGGTATCAGAATGGTGGTTTAGGTGAACTGGATACCAATGACGATATCCGGACTTAAACCTTGTGTCGGTATGTAGTAAGTATGTTTTGATTTAAACGGGATATGAACTTAAGAGAAACCTAGGTGGGAATTGGGAATTTGTTATAGGATTCTATTTAATGTTATGTATATGTCGTAACTTTCAGAAAGATGGCCGACGGTGATGAAGCTAGTCACACCCCATCTAATGACAATGTAAGAGAAAACGCTCCACACCTGGAGATTTATGATGATGAGGCACTGATGTCTCCTCGAAGCGAATGTTTGATGCAACGTATGACTTTATTAATTCAGCAAACGTTAGGCCAACAACGACATGACGATAAAAAGTCTGAAGATGATAAAAGTAAAGGTAAGGAGAAAGAAAGGGCTGACACCTCAAAACCCAAAACCGACYGAGTCTCTTTTAAAACCTTTCGTGGTAGCGGTGCTACTGAGTTCTCTGGGAAGGTTGATCTGTTGGAGGCACTTGAATGGATATTGAATACTGAGAAGGTCTTTCGTATCGCCCGAGTGCTATGTGATGATAAAGTGAATTATGCCACGACCATGTTCAAAAGTAGCGCCTTGATATGGTGGAATGCTACTTTTGCAGCTTTAGGTGAAACTGAAAAAGAAGGTATGCCTTGGGAGTCTTTCAAAACTCGTTTTAACAAGCAGTATTGTCCAATGGATCTACAAAAACGATTGGAGAAGGAGTTTCTTGATTTTAATCAAGGAAAGATGTCAGTGGTGGACTACGAGACCGAGTTCAATCATAAAGCACAGTTTGCCACACGTTTCTTGACTACAGAACAGGAACGTGTAGACCACTTTATAGACGGATTGCGATCAGAGATTCGAGATGTCGTCGCCAATCGTGATATTTCAGAGTTTAAAAAAGCGGTGGAATCTGCATGACGGCGCGAACACGATTTGACCCGCTCGGATCGTAATCCAGCTCCGCCAGCCAAGCGACCTCGAATTGAAGGTGCCATATCTGCACCAATACAACAATTTTCTAGGAATTTTAATCCGAGATACGCTCAATCCCAAGCTAGATCGTGACCTCAATCTTGGTCCCAAGCTTATAGCCTTCAGTCAAATGCTCCTCCACCCTGTTCTGTTTGCGGTAAGGCTCATCGGGGCCGATGCAACACTGTTTGCCCTGAAGTTAGATGTCATGGTTGTGGTGAAGTTGGACACGTTAGACCGAACTGCCCGAGGAGGAATATGACATGCTACTCATGTGGTGCTATAGGCCATCGTCAAAGAGAATGCCCTCGATCTAAACCTGAGGAAAGTAAGGCTTCTGTTCGCTGACCTTCTACTAGTGGTGCTGCTCGTCAAACGGAGGAGGTATTGCGCGTCCAGGCCAGAGCTTTTCAAATCACTGCTGAGGAAGCTCGAGATAAACCGGATGTGGTTATGGGTATATTTCTCGTTAATTCTCATCCCGCTCGTATCTTATTTGATTCTGGTGCTACTAATTCATTCGTTTCTCATACGTTTGCTCGATGTTTAAACTTTGTGCCATATGTGCTTGTAAAATTTTTTACGTTGACACTGCTGATGGCACATCTATGCTAGCTGATAAAGTTTACAAAGATTGTGTGTTGCAATTAGATGAGCATGAGTTTTTCGTAGATCTTGTACCAATGGATATCCATAGCTTTGATATAATTATTGGTATGGATTGGTTGGCTAAGAATCGGGCTTATATTTTGTGTTTTCAATGCATAATCCATATACCGAACGACGTCGACTATTTATATGTTTACGATGAAAAGCGTAAAGGGGACGTAAAGTTGATTTCTACGCTTAAAGCTCGAAGACACCTATCTAAAGGTTGTTCTTCCTATTTAGCCTATATTTTTTATGCGTCGAAAGAGGTAAAGAAAACGGTTAGTGACGTACCGGTTGTGTGTGAATTTCCGGATGTATTTCCCCAGGACTTACCCGGTTTACCTCCTGATAGACAAGTTGAATTTCAAATTGACTTAATTCCTGGTGCAACGCCGATTGCTAGGAAGCCATATCGTCTGGCTCCGGCTGAAATGAAAGAAATGAAGAATCAACTGCAAGAACTTCTCGATAAAGGTTTTATCCGACCGAGCACTTCTCCTTGGGGTGCTCCAGTACTATTTGTCAAGAAGAAAGACGGTTCAATGCGTATGTGCATCAATTACTGTGAGTTAAACAAAGTAACGATCAAGAACAAATATCCACTTTCGCGTATCGATGATTTGTTCGACCAATTGCAAGGTGCGAGTTACTTCTCTAAAATTGATTTACGGTCGGGTTATCATCAACTGAGAGTGCGTGAAGAAGATGAATCAAAAACGGCTTTCCATACACGTTATGGCCACTATGAATTTTTTGTTATGGCATTCGGTTTAACTAATGCACCTGCAGCGTTCATGGATATGATGAATCGTGTGTGCCGGCCAATGTTGGACAAATCTGTGATCGTGTTTATAGACGATATTCTTGCATATTCCAAATTTGAAGCGGATCACGTGAAGCATTTGTGTGAGATGCTTGAAACACTTCGACAAGAGCGTCTATATGCTAAATTTTCGAAATGTGAATTTTGGCTACGTCAGGTGCAATTCCTAGGTCATACAATTTCTTGTGACGGTGTGTCGGTTGACCCGTCCAAAGTTGAAGCTGTAAAGAATTGGGAGCAACCTAAGAATGCATCTGAGATTCGTAGTTTTCTTGGACTCGCGGGTTATTATAGACGATTCATACAATATTTCTCTAAAATTGTCGTGCCTTTAACTTCGTTGACCCAGAAAGATGTCAAGTTTGAATGGGGTGAAGCTCAAGAGAATGCTTTTCAGGTGTTAAAGCTTTGTTTGTCAAATGCTCATGTTCTAGCTTTACCAGAAGGTAGTGACGACTTGGTAGTTACAGTGATGCTTCTAAACTGGGTCTCGGTTGTGTTCTTATGCAGCGAGGCAACGTAATTGCATACGCATCGAGACAGTTGAAAGATTATGAAAAGAACTATCCAACTCATGATCTTGAGTTGGCAGCGGTCGTTTTTGCACTAAAATTATGGCGTCATTACTTACATGGTATCAAATGTCGACTATTCACAGATCATAAGAGTTTGAAGTATATCTTCACTCAACAGACTTTGAACAAGAGGCAACAACGAGCCATGGAACTGATTAAAGACTATGAATGTGAAATTCTCTATCATCCAGGTAAAGCTAATGTTGTTCCAGATGCTTTAAGCCGGAAGACTTATGCAAACTCCATGTGTTATGCTATTACACATACGTCTGTGACATCCACACTAGTTGACAACATACGAAAATGGCAAGTAGAGGCTTTGAAGCCTGATCATGTGAAACCAGAACGTATAGTTGGTTATGTTTTGTATCTGACAGATGATAGTCGAGGACTTAAWGTCTTCAAGGACCGTGTTTGGATTCCAAAACTCGGTGGTATTTGGGAATTGGTATTATCTGAAGCACATAAGTCGCGGATGTCCGTGCATCCGGGCAGTACAAAGATGTATTACGATTTGAGATATGAATATTGGTGGTCGGGAATGAAGCATGATATCGGCCGATATGTGGAACAATGTGTTACGTGTTCGCAGGTTAAAGCTGAACACCAAAAACCTTATGGTAGCCTTCAACCTCTCGATATACCGGTGTGGAAATGGGAGGAACTTACAATGGATTTTGTTACAAAGCTATCGAAGATGTCTCGTCAGCACGACAGCATCTGGGTTGTCGTGGACCGTTTAACCAAAAGTGCTCACTTTCTGCCTGTTCGAGAGTCGTATTCTATGCATAAATGGGCACAAATTTATGTCGACGAGATTATTGCACGACATGGTGTTCCTCTGAAGGTAATTTCTGATCGAGATTCTTGATTTACTTCGAAATTTTGGGCACCACTTTCTCTAGGGCACCACTTTCTCCTTCTGACATGTGTTCAGGTTCAGCGCCAGGTCGTCGAAGATGACGACAACATAGTTGATCGGGCGGTGTTGGATCACTGAGACGCCAATGGTGAGGGCGACTCGGGAAGCCTGATCCTAGACACCATTCTTTCCACCCATACTCTGGATGAATTGTGAGAACAGGTATTGCCACACCGCTAACATGCAGTTCTTCTTAATCATTGACAGCGACTTGAGGGGCTCGCTGGCGTCCTTCTTTATTCGCCATTGGTAGCCAATGTTATCAAAGTAGGCGATGATCTCAGCAGTGGAGGGTTTGTTGGCGAAGGTCCCCTTTGGGAAATGAAGTGCGTGCCTTAGAGTGGTCACGTCGAAGCTAACAGTCATCCTGTTAAAGGTGAAAGATATTTTCTCCACCTGAAGACTATTCTTATCCTCCTCTTGCACCACCTCAGCAGTCATCTAGAACTGCTAAAAGGCCTCCCTAACCATGACAGGTTCATGGTTGAGAGCATAGGCGATAGAGGACATGTGGAGGAAGGCAGCAACATCCAAGTAGATGGTTTTGTTAATGGGAATGTCCAACAAGGCAATGTGGTTATTGGCCTTGAAGGAGATGTCTTCCACAACAAAGTTCACATTCTTAGCAATCATTTTCTGTTTATGGTAAGGAAATAAGGAGAAAAAGAGTTTATATTAGTAGTCCTAGATTTATTGTGATCTTTTTAAGCTTTTGAACAATAAAACTTTTTTTGAAAAATCTACAAAAAAGATATTAGGAGTTTTCAAATAGATTAGTGTTTTTGAAACTAGATTATAACCATGAATAAGAATGTGTTATTAATCTTTCTGTTTGTGTTTTAAGAGAACAAGGTTCTTAAAATCTCAAACATTTGTTTCATTAGAAGGAGAACAGTTCAAAATGTAAATAAATTTATCAGCCTTAGAGTTCTTTGAAGAAGTTGAAGGATTTGAGTGTTCTTGAGAGTTCTTGCTTGCAAAGACTTTTTGGTGGAGGTTCGTCAAAGATTTTTGTAAGCGTAAAGAAAATATGAGGGAAGAGATCCCATGTTTATAGGTAGGAGGAGAAAGAAAAGAAATAAGAGAGAGAAAAATACGACGGTTGAGGAAATGCCATTATGAGAAATATGGCACGTTCTCGTCCATGATTGGATGGAAGATAAAGTGGGTTGCGTGTGTTAGACCTTTTTGCGCGTCTGAAGATTCGTATTGGTAACAGAGAATGTCGTTATTAAGACTGTTCATTAACTATTTCTTTTAAAACAAAAATTTTATAAGAAATTTGAAGAGTCACAATCAGTGATAAGACAATCACTGAATAAAAACCTTTTAAAACATTTTGATCACTGAAGAAGAGAAGCTTCAGTGATGGTTTCAAGTTTTAAGAACTGAAAATAACTTAGAAGAAAATATTTTCATAAAGACTTCAGTGTCAGTGATAAGAGAATCACATAAACTGTCATCTAAAAACATTTGAATCGCTGAAGGTAGAAAGGTTCAGTGATCATTTTGATTTTAAATAAAGACAAGTATAAAAGAGATATACTCACGTATAATTGTTTAGCGATAAATAGAATCAATGAAACAAACCTTTAAAACATTTTAATCACTGAAAAGAAAAGCTTCAGTGATAGTTTTAAGTTTTTAGAAAAGAATAAGTATACATACCTTAGAGAGAGTAGATATATTTATTCAAGAGTTCAGTGATAGAGATATAGCACTAAATCATTTCACCTACTTAATAATGCGTATAGATGAAGAAGATTATTCTTCAGCGTTTAGCATCCCAGTTCGCTGATCAAGATGTTGAATCTTGTCTCATCAAGGGGCTTGGTGAAAAGGTCGGCGAGCTGATAATCAGTTGGAACAAAGTGAAGTTCAATATCACCACTCATAACATGATCTCTATATGTTTGGTCTTAGAGTGAAGTACATGGTTGTGTGCGATCGCAATAGCACTAGTGCTATCACAATAGATAGGAATCTTTGAGAACTGAAGATCGTAGTCATTCAGCTGGTTTTTCATCCAAAGGACTGGGGCACAACAACTTCCAATGGCTACGTATTCAGCTTCAGCGGTTGATGTGGACACTGAATTTTGCTTCTTACTTGTCCAACTCACCAACTTTCCACCTAGAAGCTAACAGCCTCCAGTGGTGCTTTTCTTATCGATCCTACAACTTGCAAAATCACTATCCGAGTAACATATTAGGTCAAAACCTGAATCCTTAGGGTACCAAAGACCCAAGTTAGGACTTCCCTTCAGGTATCTAAAAATGTGTTTTACAGCGATCAGATGAGATTCTTATGTTCAGATTGATATCGTGCACAAAAGCAAGTAGAATACATGATATCTGGTCGACTAGCTATGAGATACAACAGGGAGCCGATCATTCCTCTAAAAATAGTTACGTTTATAGGCTTTCCATTTGCATCCTTGTTGAGAGAGAGTGGAGGAGCCATTGGAGTCTTCATAGATGAGCTATTAGATAAATCAAACTTCTTCAGCATGTCATGGACATACTTACTTTGACTGATAAAGATACCTTTATTTGATTGCTTGACCTAGAGACCTAAAAAGAAGGTTAGTTCTCCCATCATACTAATATGGTATTCTTTCTTAATGCGATTAGCGAATCGAAAACATAAAGAGGGATTAGTGGAGCCAAAAATAATACCATCGACATAAGATTGGACTAGAATGATATGACCCTTAACTTTTCTAAGAAATAAGTTTTGGTCAATCTTTCCACGAACAAATTTCTCAGAGATAAGAAATGAGGAGAGGGTATCATACTAGGCACAGGGAGCCTCTTTCAACCCATAAATAGCTTTATCCAAACGATAGACGTGGTTTGGATACTTAGGGTCAAGAAACCCTGGAGGTTGTTCAACATAACTTTCTCTTGAAGTTTTCCATTAAGGAAAGCGCTCTTTACATTCTTTTGGTACACTTTGAAATCTCTATGGGCAACAAAGGCTAGATAGAGTCAAATTGCTTCGAGTCTAGCCACTGGTGCGAAGGTTTCATCATAGTCGATCCCTTCTTCTTTTCTATAACCGTAAGCAACAAGTCGAGCCTTGTTACAGGTTACCACACCTTCTTCATCTAACTTGTTGCGATAAACCCATTTGGTGCCTATCACTATCTTGTCAGTTGGACGTGGGACAAGGTACCAAACTTTGTTCTTATCAAGCTCAATGAGCTCCACTTGCATGGCAATGACCCAACTAGGGTCTGCGAAGGCATCACTGATCTTCTTGGGTTCAACTACAGAGAGAAAGTTGACAAAGAGACATATATTACCTAGACCACGACGAGTCTGAATTCCTGCACCTGGATCACCAAGGGAATTTGTTGAATTGGATGGTCTTTAGTCCAGTGCTGAGTTGGTAGAGGAATATCATCCGAGTAGAGAAGTTCGAGAACAATGGATGAGGCTTCAGCTGTAGTGTCTTTAGCGATTGGAACAATTGCTAAAGGAGCCTTAGACTCAGCGACTGAAATAGGTTCAGATGCTGAAGGCATTTCATTCACTGATTGATCAATGTTTGAAGTAGATGGAGGAACACAGCTAATGGGCATAGCAGTGATCTCTGAAGAAGACACGTTGGTGTGACTAGCTGGAACTAGAATGATTAATGGTTCATCTTCAGCTTCCGGGGCTTCAGTGTTGAGAGGAACGCTGAAGGAAGCTTCAAGTTGTCCATAATCAGAGAATATCCAGTTTTCTAATTCATCTTCATCATTTAAGATGAGTTTTGAATTAGCTGATTGAGATTCATCAAATTTGACATGAATAGTGTTGGGTTTGAGTAAGAGCTTTATTGTTGTATTCAAGTTTCTCCTTAGTTTACTTGCTTTGTAATAGTGTAGCTTTACTATTTCCTTAGTATATATAGTATTTTCCTAGTAATTGTCATTACGAAGTCATTAGCAGATTGTAATCAAGATTAGAGTTGTAATTCTCTCTCTCTCTCTCAATCAAATCAGTAACATTTGATGATCTATTCTTTCTACTATTA